TGGAATTCTCCAGGCCTGAATACTAGAGTGGGTAGCTGTTCCCTTCTCCAGGGGATCTTCCCAACCCAGGGATTGAATCCAGGTCTCCTACATTGTGGGAGAATTCTTTACCAGCTGAGCCACAAGGGAAGCCCATAGTTTGGTATACAATTGTTTCAAATTTCCACTACTGTGTACTTCATAATATATATAATTATTAGTACTAATATTCATAATTTGGATCATGTGCTACATACTATCTTGCATTTATTACTTAATGTATTTTGTACATCTCTCCATATTTGCACAAATAAATCTACCTCGTTGTTTTCCTATGAGACTTTATAGGATCTTTAAACTAGTTTTCATTGAATTCTACTGTGTGGATCTACTATAACTTATCACTGTATTTATAATGAACAATACTATAACAAACATTTTTGTATATAAATTTTTGTGTATATGTGTATGTGCAAATTCCTAGAAGAAGCATTTCTGGGTAAAAGTGTATGAATATTTAAAGTTTAAAAGATAGTGCCAAACTCTTGCACTGCTACTTTTAACGAAGTAGCTTAATACTGCTACTTCGTTAAAAGTGGCAGTAATTTGAAGGAGCTTTAAACGGCATTTATATTTTTATATTATTTTAGTGTCTCTAAGGTTTACTTATTTTGTTGAATAGACATATTTTATTGAACCTATGATGCCATCTTATAGAAAAGATATTCTCCAGGATTTAAAAAATATATATATCCTGATTTCAGGTATGCTAAACTGTGAAAAGGGCCCTTTTCATATTAGATCAAACTATGGTTCTTAGCTAGCTGTCTTGGAAAATGAATGACTAATTGCGCATAGTGAGAAAAAGCACTTTCTCAACAAAACAACAGCATATCAAATGCTCACACTTATTAATTAAAAATACTACACTTCCAAAAGTATTGCTGCATGAGACATAAAACATGAGAGAGCAAACTGTGAATAATTCACATTAGTCAAGCTTTAGAAGGCCCATGATGTTTGGATAATTAATAAATACAGAGCATGTTCTTCTCTGCCATAAGGATCTGCAGCATCAGAATACAGACAAATCAAACGACTCATTTATTTTCTAACATGATAAGCCCTGGCCCCTACACCTGTGTCAAAAAGGAGATTTTTCAGTTACTGTGTTAGCAAAGTCTCATCGATAAGAACAGGCAGCCCTTGTAACTGGATTTGACTCCTTCAGCCAACATACAATTCACCTTGATCATTTGATAAGAGAAATCACTTCCGAAGTTCAGTCCCCAGACGCAACTGACTTTGGACATCTCTGCCAGGAGCATGGGAAAGTCGGGTTTCACTAGCTCAATAAGGTGATACAGCTACTCCTTAAAAGTCCTTTTTTTGTTTTTGCTGTTTTGTTTGAGGTGGCTAATTGCTCAAAAGATTAACACTGAAGAAACTGTCACAATGACTTACCACCCAATCACTTTCCGTCTCAGAGATGAATTGTGTATTTTCTACACTTGGTACCACAAAACCTGTGTGTAGAAAATTGCATCTTGCTTTGATGGGACAGAAAAGGAGGTACTAAGTAAGTGTATCTGAAATGTCAGACCCTTTTGCCTAAGCACAAAGAATAGAATCAGGTCAGAAAATCTAAACTCTGAATAAATATAAGCTCTTTACACCATGTCTGAAACATGAAATACTAAGTTTGATTATGATTGGTTGAAATGTTGTAGGTGTTAATAAGCCTCTACCAAATAAGAGAGGATTTTCAAGTTACACCCCTTGAAATCAATGTCAAGCCCCTTCTGTGTACTTTAATCTGAATGCTTGTAATTTTCCCTAAACATACCCTCTATTCTTAAATTAATTTTGCATGTGACATGTAAATGTAAGCCTTCCTATGAATGGAGTAGCAAAGAGGTGAAGTTCAACTCTGATAAATTTCTACAATTTCTTTGCTCTATTCCTGTGGCTACTGTTCAGTTCAGTTCATCTTCTTACTCATGGAAGTCAGAATTTGCAGCGTGTGCTGAGTTTGAGTTTTTCTCTGCTATTTAGTTAGGCATTTCCTTCTATTTTTATAATGTCATTTTCAGCCAAAATTCACGCTTACAGGCATCCTCTTTCACATTCCTCCTCATAACAGTATTGCAGAACTCTCATAACTTTCATTATCTTCAGGGTTTTCAAATCACCTTTGTTCCCCACTTTACCTCCTCTCTGGCCTCCTCAGTACTACTCCCCCCCCCCCCCCCCCCCGGCTAAAGTCCCAGTGACATAAATATCCAAAACCCAACTACTGAACCCTCCTCTATACCCCTGCACCTAACCAAGAGTCTCCACAGTCTGCTAACCAGTGTATGATTCAGACTACACTTTCTGATACTGGGGGTAAGTCTGAAAGAACTGATGTAAAAGATAGTTGGGTTTTAGTGGCTCAGTGGTAAAGAATCTGCCTGCAATGCAGGAGACACAGGTTTGATCTCTAGGTTGGGAGATCCCAGGAGAAAGAAATGGCAACCCACTCCAGTATTCTTGCCTGAGAAATCCCATGGACAGAAGCCTGGCAGGCTACATACAGGTCAGGGGTCTCAAATGAGTTGCACGTGACTTAGTGACTAAACAACAACAAAAGTGAACATCAGAATTTTACACTACTGAATAAGCTCACTAAAGACTTTTCTTCTCCATGTGATCAGCTTGGACACAGAGTGTAGAGAATCCTCTTTGGGGTTCCTTACTAACTTTTTTGTTAAATGCTGTAAGAACAAACAAAAGGCTTCCCAGCAGGCCTGGGGTGAGTGCTGTAGCGGCTAAAACCCTTCCAGGCTGGTGAGAACCCACTACTGCCGCACCTGAGCCCCAGCCTCTAAAGGCAACACCGGGTGCTGGGGAACCCAGCTCGGGACTTGGCGACAAACACGAGCTCCTGATAAGCTTTTCCAAAACCAGCCTTACCTCCCTCTGATCCATGCCCTAACTAATCCTACTTTTATACCTTCCTTTCTCCAAAATATGTATTTAACTCTTACATGTGTTAGGCCCTGTGCAGCTGGCCCAAGCTACTAGGACAAATTACAAATCTGTGTTCCTGCTCTGCTAAAAATTCTTCAATGGTATTCAAGATTCCTCAAGATCTGCCTGCTAATTATCTTTCCAGCCTCATCTCCCAACTCTTTCTGGGTCCTTGCTTTCTAAATTTCAGCCATAATGAAACTATTTTCAGGTTTATTATCTGATGTTATTTCCCTAACTTTGTCTGCCATGACATGGTTCAGATGTCTTAGTCTCAGAGAAAGCCTCTTCTTATCAATCAGCCCCAGGTTAGGTACAAAGGAAAATTTTGTGTGGCATGTAATTTCTATTTTTCTGACTGGACACTTTTCACTCCTTCCTTCCTTCCAAGGTGTGAAAATACATATCTAATAATATCAGCTCATAAAATAACTCTGTCCTTTTCCTCGTTTCCTCTAAAGATGTTTTATTGAGGGTGTGATACACACCCTGCTTTTCAATTCAAGAAAAGTATAAGGTAACCCTGGTTGGTAACAGGAGGAAAAAAAATATGGAGAAAGTAAAATAACATTCCAGTTAGTCTTCTGGCTTAATTCTACTAGTTCTTAAAACAGTAAATGTGCTACAGAGACTATCCTAGTGCAGGGGACAGTAGATGGATATGAGACGGGCTTACTATGCTACATGTCCTAAGGTCTATGATTCATTTCTGTTTGTCAGAGCTGGACGTGGTGTAGCTGGAGTGTGCCCCAACAGCCAGCCAGAGCACATCGCCTTTTCTTTTACCATGGGTATTTTCTGGATGAGAAGAAAAAGTTTATGGGTTTCAGTTCAGTTCAGTTCAGTCACTCAGTCGTGTCCAACTCTTTGTGACCCCATGGACTGCCGCACACCAGGCTTCCCTGTCCATCACCAATTCCCAGAGCTTGCTCAAACTCATGTCCATCAAGTCGGTGATGCTATCCATCCATCTCATCCTCTGTCGACCCCTTCTCCTCCCACCTTCAATCTTTCCCAGCATCAGGGTTTTTTCTGAGGAGTCAGTTCTTCGCATCAGGCGGCCAAAGTATTGGAGTTTTAGCTTCAGCATCAGTCCTTCCAAAGAATATTCAAGACTTATTTCCTTTAGGACTGACTGGTTTGGTCTCTGTGCAGTCCAAAGGACTCTCAAGAGTCTTCTCCAACACCACAGTTCAAAACCATCACTTCTTCGGCACTCAGCTTTCTTATAGTCCAACTCTCACATCCATACATGATTGCTGGAAAAATCATAGCTTTGACTAGACGGACCTTTGTCAGCCAAGTAATGTCTCTGCTTTTTAATATGCTGTCTAGGTTTGTCACAGCTTTTCTTCCAAGGAGCAAGCTTCTTTTAATTTCATGGCTGCAGTCACCATCTGCAGTGATTTTGGAGCCCCCCAAAATAAAGTCTCTTACTGTTTCCCCATCTATTTGCCATGAAGTGATGGGACCAGTTGCCATGATCTTCGTTTTTTGAATGTTGAGTTTTAAGCCAGCTTTTTCACTTGCTTTCACTTTCATCAAGGGGCTCTTCAGTTCCTCTTTGCTTTTTTATGGGTTTTCCAATCTGAAATTTCACTGTTAAGTTTCTGTTCCAGATCCATGAATCAAGAGACTAACCAACAGCCCTGACAAATACAGAAAGACCTGCCTCTTCCAAGAGAGTCTACTGAGCTTTCCTAGTACCATCTCATGAGACCCCAGCCCTCTGCTTTCTTATTTATTTATTCACACTGCCTTTGTGCTTGCCTGGCTCCCCTGCTGGCCTTGAGGGCAGAAATGTTTTATTTGGGGCTATAACCCCAGCAAATAAGAGTACCTACTGCATCTGGCATATAACAAGCACTCAACAAATGGCTGATGAATGAATAAATACAGACCTGTTGGCACTTCAAGAGAAAAAACAAACACTAGGAGCTCTCAGGACGTACAGTTCACACTACAGTTGGTAAAAACTGTCCCAGCAGTAGTTTTCAGTTCCCTCTCACCTGATCGGTATCGTTCATCCCTGGCTCCCCCAGACCGACTTCGATGATACTTAGAAGGAGCGGAAGTTGGAGCTGCAGATGGAGCAGGTGTCTGGTTTCTGTGTTCTTTCTGTACTGATGAATCAGTTTCTAAAAAAGGAAGTTTGGAAGATGGTTATCAGGTAACAATAATAACTAACATTTTCTGAGCACTTTACAGCATTTCCACAACACTTTGACATAGGTAATACTACCCATCTACAGTAAAGGGTTAGAGAGCTTTACACATACTTTAAAAAAAAAAAAATACAAAGGCATCCAGACTAAAACAAAACAAAACAGAACATTATCTTGACAACGTAATTGTCAACAGGTGATGGGAGATAGAAGTAGGTGAAAAGGCCATTCCAGAGACTCCACGAACTGGAAGGATGGGGGTAGGGTGGGGTGTACATGACCCCCTAATCCTGTACAGTTGCAGAAAACACAGCTTGGGAAGTTTTAGTCTCCCTACCATAAGTTACTCCAAATAAACATGTCATTAAAACAAAACGAGAGTGCTTACTGTGCAAACACAGCCTCAAATCAAGCCTTACTAGCCCCTCCTCCAGCTGGAGGCACCACTGAACTTAACCCTTTCCAGCCCCTGGCCTGTCCCCCCAACATTCACTGTTTCTCATCAAGAATATGGGGAAGGCTGCAATCCTATTCCTGGGCACATATCTGAAGAAAAACATGATCCAAAAGGATACATGCACCCCAATGTTCATCGCAGCACTGTTTACAATAGCCAAGACATGGAAGCAACCTAATGTCCATCAGAAGAGGAATAGATAAAGAAGACGTGGTACATATATACAATGGAATATTACTCAGCCATTAAAAGGAACAAAATAATGCCACTGCCATTTGCAGCAACATGGATGGACCTAAAAGACCCTGATGCTGGGAAAGATTGAGGGCAGGAGGAGAAGGGGATGACAGAGGATAAGATGGTTGGATGGCATCACCGACTCAATGGACATGAGTTTGAGGAGGCTCTGGGAGTTGGTGATGGACAGGGAGGTCTAGTGTGCTGCAGTTCATGGGGTCGCAAAGAGTCGGACACGACTAAGTGACTAAACTGAACTGAAGACAGTGTCATATTGAAGTCACAGAGAAGGAAAAATACCATATGGCATCCCTTATATGTGGAGTCAATAAAGAAATGATACAAATAAACTTATTTACAAAACAGACTCACAGACTTAGAAAATGAACTTATGGCTACTGGGGGAAAGGATGGGAGCTTCGGAAGGTCATGTACACACTGCTACATTCAAAATGGATAACCAGCAAGGACCTACTGTACAGCACACGGAACTCTGCTCAATGTTATGTGCCAGCCTGGATGGGAAGGTTTGGAGGAGAATGGATACTGTATATGTATGGCTGAGTCCCTTCACTGTCACCTGAAACTACCACAATATTGTTAACCAACTATACCCAAATACAAAATAAAAAAATATGAGGGGGGATATGGAGAAGAGAAAATAAGCAGGGGAAATAAACAGAAGAAAAATACTTTGTTCTGATGTTTTACTACCTTTTTTTTCAAATGACATTGCTCCCAAATCATAATTTTTTAAAATTGTAGTAAGAATATTTAACATGAGATATTATCTTTTAACAAATTAAGTGTATAATGTGGTATTATAAACTATAGGTATGATGTTACACAGCATTTTCAGAACTTATTCATCTTGTATAGTTAAAAGTTTTTACCCAGTGAGTAGCAACTCCCCATTTCCCCCACACCCCAGCCTCTGGCAACCACCATTCTACTCTCTGCTTCTGTGAGTTTAACTGTTTTAGATTCTTTGTATAAGTGGAACCATAAAGTATTTGTCCTTTTGCGATTCATTCAGTTTCATGTCCTCCAGGTTCATCCATGTTGTCATGTATTATGGAATTTCCTTATTTTGAGGGGTATTTTAAATTTCTTCAGTAGCATTTAGCTGTGCTCAGAAAGGCACCTTACATACATCAAATTAAGGGCCCACTTTAGGAAGATGTCACCTATCCAGACAACAGCTAAGAGTTGGCTTATGAAGCCAAATATAAAAAGAAGACTAAAATCACAGTGTTCTGGGGAACGCAGCCATCAGCTCTACAAATCTCAGTAAAGGCTGAGGCGAGTCACAGTACTACTGGAACTGAGATGTGTAATGACAAAGTCATACTGATTTCCAAAACAGGTTTGAGTGCTGGAGAAGCCATGTATAAGAACTTTAGTCCACAGTTCCAGCTGAGGTCTGCCTTCCATGTGGGTGAAGCCACTTGGACCCTTCAGACCTGGGGAAAAGCTCTTAGTGACTCCAGTTGGCACCATGTGGCCCATAAGAATCACCCAACTGAGCCCTGCCCAAATTCCTGATCCATAAAGTCATAATATATAATAAAAAAGGCTTCCTTTATTTTTTATATACTGCTTTTAAGAAGACAAGAAACAGTGTATTTTAGGGTGCTCTCTATGTTAAAGTGCTTTTATGGACCTAGAAACATTTATTTTCCTAGCAGCTGAGATTTTTATTATAAAAATTACATATTATCTGAGCAGAATAAATTTAAAAACTGAGACTTTTAAATGTAATGTCTGGGTGGTAAATCAAATTTTAGTATTTTTAAGTTTTAATCTTTTAATCAACCTAAATCTTCTTGATAATCCACTTCAAAGAAGACCTGTACTGATTCTTGATATATTCATACCTTATGTCATTTATTAGTTTTATTTCTCTAGAATAGGGATCAACAAACCATAGCCCATGTCTGTTTTCATACAAACAGTTTTATCAGAAAATAACCACACACATCTGTTAACATATTGCCTATGTGAAGGCAGAGGTGAATTACTGTGACAGAAACTGTATGGGCCTCAAAGTCTAAAATATTTACTATCTGGCCCTTTACAGAAAAAGTTTTCAGCTCCAGTCTGTGATAATAAATGCTACATTTAAGTGCTTGCCTTCTGCTAGGCACTGTGCATTTAGAAGTTCACACACTTGATCTTATTTATTCCTCACAACAACCCTACAAAGGAAGAAATATCACTGTCAACTTTTTACAGAAAAGAAACAGTGATATGGATTTATTTTATAGAAAGTCACAAAGTCAGAACATGGAAGAGTCAGGATTCAAACTCAAGTCTAACTCCACTGGTTCTCCTAAGAGGAAAGCAATCAGAATTAATAACTTAGTATCAGTTCAGTTCAGTCACTCAGTCTGTCCAGCTCTTTGCGACCCCATGAAATTGCAACACACCAGGCCTTCCAGTCCATCACCAACTCCCAGATTTTATCCAAACTCATGTCCATTGAGTCGGTGATGCCATCCAACCATCTCATCCTCTGTCGTCCCCTTCTCCTCCTGCCCTCAATCTTTCCCAGCATCAGGGTCTTTTCAAATGAGTCAGTTTTTCGCATCAGGTGGCCAAAGTATTGGAGTTTCTGCTTCAACATCAGTCCTTCCAATGAACACCCAGGACTGATCTCCTCCAGGATGGACTGATTGGATCTCCTTGCAGTCCAAGGGACTCTCAAGACTCTTCTCCAACACCACAATTCAAAAGCCATCAATTCTTTGGCACTCAGCTTTCTTTATGGTCCAACTCTCACATCCATATATGACTACTGGAAAAACCATAGCCTTGACTAGACGGACCTTTGTTGACAAGGTAATGTGCCTCTGCTTTTTAATATGCTGTCTAGGTTGATCATAACTTTCCTTCCAAGGAGTAAATGTCTTTTAATTTCATGGCTGCAATCATCATCTGCAGTGATTTTGGAGCCCAAAAAAATAAAGACAGCCACTGTTTCCACTGTTTCCCCATAATTTAGTATAGGAACATCTAAATGCTTCAGGATTTACAGTCAGGAGTTAAGAGAACATGTTTTGTTTTTTGTTTGTTTTTTGTTTTTTTTTTAATCACCTGCCTTCATGTAAAAGATTCTGCAAAAAGCCCCTCCCTCCAAAAATAAAGTTTTCAGCCAGTCACTACAGAAATTATTTAAAATATATTTCAGTTAACTTTAGAGAATAAAAAATAGAAAGGGGCTATTTTTATTTGTATGGTCAGATGATATATATAGGAAGGAAATCAGATTAGCACACATGAGCTACTTTGCCTATAAACATGTACAGAGAAAATGGTTTGACTTAGACAAAACACTGAATTTAAAACACGACCTTTGCATTATTTTTTGGAGGTACAGCGAATATATTACTGAATTACCGGTCATTAATTTCTTTTTAATTAAATAAGCAGATTTGCTAGGATAAACCAAACTACCCTGCTAAGAAACATGGTACCTTCAAATTAGAAACTAATAATCCAAAGGATGAAAAGCAGGAACATGGACTCTCATTTCACAAAGGATGCTAACACACAATTGATATACCTCTTCCGATTCCTCTCTCATTATGCTTTTACTTTGTATTTTTCAGTGTAGTTTATTAGGAAAAAGAAGATAATGTGTAAATAAAATAAAAAAATAAAAATTTTTTACCAAGAAATGATCTGGAGGTGAGAGGGAAAGTGAGAGTTGATCTATCTGTTTGAGGAAGAACTAGAGAGAATGAACATTTCTACTGCGGATTATCTAGAGGTTATCATACATCAAACCACAAGGAAATGTAACACAAATATAGACATTTGATGAGAATTGAGTCAGATGACATGTAGCCATGAGATCTATGGAAACTGGTGCCCCCCCCCACCCACCCAAAAAAGGCTCACAACACACTATTCACCAATTCACCAAGCAACATGAGTATGATGCTCGGCAAAGTTTAGCTCACTCCCCTCAGGAATTTAGTCTTCCAAACAGACATGGTCTCTTTTGGGTCTAAAATCATGACAGACATTTCGAGGTAGCTTGTCAGAAGTGAAACCAAAAGGTCAACTTGCAGTTTCAATCAGTAGCTGACAAGTTGGTTCAGTGAGCATTCCTCGGGTGCCGAACACACGATGCCACAAACATATAGATTTCTGACAGAACAAGTGAAAAGAGAAGTCACTCAGTCATGTCCGACTCTTTGCAATCCCATGGACTGTAGCCCACCAGGCTCCTCCATCCATGGAATTTTCCAGGCAAGAGTACTGGAGTGGATTA